AAATGGCTAATTCCAGGAGGCGTCACATTCAAAATCAAGGATAAAAAAGAAAAGATTGACTGTGTTCTGAAAGCTCGGGAATTTCTAAGGGTCCAGTTGGGAAGGCCAGAGGATGGAAAAAAAGAAGAGGACAGTAAGTCTAGTGACGAGCTGGACTCGGGTTCTTCCGGAGAGGACTCTCTGGCAGAGCAAGGGGCAGCAGCCCCCAAAAGTCCTTATAAGTTGCGGAAGAGACGGGGAAAGGAGAAGTGAAGGCTGAAGGACTCTGATTTGTGCCTTTGAGAACTTTGAAATGGGATGATTGGGGGTACTGTTCTTAGACAGTTAAGTTCAAGATTTAAAGAAAAGAGTAAAAAGTACTATAAATGTTTGACTCAGTTTATAATGTTATAAAAGAAGGGAAGACTTGATGTAATTAAGCTATTGATGATCTCCTCTCGTGGGTTTTTAGGTAGTAGTGGGTTCTTTTACTTTATCCTGTAAATGTAGTCCCCTTCCCTTTTTTCTGTGTTAGTTTTGTAGTCTTATAAATAATAATAAAAAATCCCCTCCGGGGGCTCAAAAAAAAGAAAGAAAAAGAAATCGCAGTCTAATTTCAAGAGGTATCTGAAGAAGAGAGCAGTGACTCACAAAAGCTCATACCCTGCCACAAATTGTGTTAGTCTTTAAGGTGCTACTGGACTCTTGCTCTTTTCTACTCTAATTTCCATTAGCTTTCCACTGTACCTTGCAAGATTGACAGAAGCTACCACAAGTGATTCAACACACTTGCGTGCCCACACACACACAAAAGTAGACAGATGGCAAACTGCAACAAAAAGTATGACATAAGTAAGCCATAAAATCTGGATTTGTAAAACTAGTAAGATCTAAGAAAACAATACATTAAAGAAGTACGCACAAGTAAAAAAACTAAATTGTTAATCTTTCCCCTTTCCTGCACCTGTAACCATTGCATGATCAGCAACAGGGAAGCCAACCTCCAGGTGGGACCTGGGGATCCCCTGGAATTACAGCTCATCACCTCCAGTCTACAGAGATCAGGTCCCTTGGAGAAAATGGATGCTTTGGAGGGTGAACCTCCACATCTAAACCTCTACTTAGGGATGACAGTCTCCAGGTGGGAATTGGGGACCCTCCCCCCAGATTTACAGCTTATCTCCAGGCTGCAGAGATCAGTTCCTCTCGAGAAAATGGGTGGAATCTATGGCATCATATCCCACTGAGCTCCCTGTCCTCTCCAGGAGTTTCCCAACCCAGACCTGGCAACCCAAATCAGCAGACACATTCTACACAGGTAAATTCCCAGCCACCGTGAAGTTGCAATGGTGGCTGCGCCAAGATTCACCTGTGGGATTTCCACCTGTTATACAGTCTGCCTGCCAAATAAAAAGACAACAGTCTCAAAAGACAGAAAAGGGAGGTTTCTTCCACGGGCATAACTCGAGCAGTTTGCTGGAGGATAAGCATACTTAACAATAAGAACCAGAGAGCCTTAAGGGAAACGTGTCAGGGAAAGAAGGGGGCGCCTGAGGACACACCAAAAGGGCCATCAGACTCTCTTGCAATGGGACAGCCAGACTCGAGCCCAGAAGCAACATAGAGACCAACAAGATTGCCGGAGTATAAGCTTTCGAGAGCTACCTTCGTCGGATAGCTGATACCCCAAAATTCTCTAAGGTACTACTGGACTCGATCCTAGCTGCTCTACTGTAGACGAACACGGCTGCTGCCGCCCTCTAAAACTATCTTGCAAAACGACGGCAAACAGCGTCGACAACAAAGGCGGCCAGCTGCGGGTGGAACCCGGGACAAGGAAGCGTTTTCTCCTCGAGCGGCTTACATTGTCTCCTGCAGGACGCCGTACCAGAAGTAACACACGAAGACGCCCAAGCAACAAATGGGAAGCCGCAGCCGCTCGGGCAAGAAGGCGCCCCCTCCGCCGCTTACCCCTGCGGCGGCGGCGCCCATGACTGGCCCTGGAACCACCTCGGGCCCCGGCAGCCTCAGCGGCGGCAACTCCACGCAGACATCCCGCAGCGGTGCAGCCGGTGAGGCAAAGGGGGGCCTCATAGAAGCGGCTGCGACTACAGCCCTCAAGGACCCCCCCGTCCTCCCTGGCTGCCTGGCACCCTGCCTGGTTGTTTCGACTCCTCAGAAAGGAAGGCGACCAAACTGTCCGAGCATCAGGGAAATCGAGCCTCGTCGGATGAGAACCTGAAGCATGTCGGGGGCGCCTCTATTTTCGGATTTGCTTGCTTCGAAAGAAACGCCTCTACAGGCTTTGCGAAAGACGGCTTGAGCTCTGGGTCCTGAAAGGGTTAAAGGCAACGATATTCTACGCCAGCAGATGTGGAGCGCGCCGATTGTGCGGTGGAGAAGAAGGCGGTGCTGTTGGCTGGAGCGGCTCCTCGTGTCGGGCTCTTATTGCTGGTGTCCCAAACAAGAGGGCGGAGTTGAGGATGCCGCTGGCCGGGGAGGGAAGGCTGGACGCGGGGGAGGCTGGCGACGGAAGGGAGGAGAAGCCACGTCGGAGACGAAGAGCTTCGAGGCAGTGGAGGAGGAGAAGTATGAAGAGGGACCAACTTCAGTGCTGCAATAAGGGGTTTCTGGCTGCCGTTACACACACTAACTCATCCACTTTCAGTGCACTTTGCAACTGGATTTTACTGTGTGAACTGGCTAAATCCAGTTGGCAAGTGCATTGAAAGTAGATGAGTTAGTGTGTGTGTGTGCAACCTCTGAGGGCCTGAGTTTGCTTCTCTGTAAAATGGGTGTTGGACGGTGACATCATGGTCCCTGGGGGGTGTCTTCCCCAAAAGGTTTCCCAGTATCCATTTGAAGAAATGAACTGTGACTGGCAAAAGCTCATATTGAATAAATGTATCTTCAGGCATCATTCGATTTTTGCTTTCTGTTGCTAATATTAGTAAGCCACGAGGCTTGCTGGGTGCCTTTGGGCCAGTAATGCACCTGCCCTTTCTTTGCAACTGTGGCACCCCTTACTGTTCAGCCGGCCCTTAAACATAGGGCTATTCTGTGTACATCTGCCCTGGCCCCACTGATGGACCTCCTGATGGCACCTGGTATTTTTGGCCACTGTGTGACAGTGTGTTGGACTAGATGGGCCATTGGCCTGATCCAACATTGGCTTCTCTTATGTAGAGGTTGAACAAGTGGCAACCAGAAATGGGGCTCTTCCCAGTGGTGCCACTTTACCTTTATAATGCTCTTCCCTCTGAGACTTGGTTGGCATCTGCTTTATTGCTCTTTAGTTGCTGGACCAAAATGTTGCCCAGGCATCTCATCAAAAAGTTCTCTCTTTAAGGACCACTTTTAGCTGGAGGATATATATTTTTAGCTATAATGCTGGTGTGGCATAGTGATTTATAGCAGTTTGAATCCATTGCTTAACCATGGAAGCCTGCCAGGTGACCTTGGGCCTGTCACAATAGCTCAGCCTAACCTACCCCTTCCCAAGGTTGTGAGAATTTACGTAGAGGAGGGGGAATTACAAAGGTTCCCAAATCAAAGAGAAAAGCATGATAAACAAAGTTGGTTGGTGCTTAATGGTGTTTCTACTGGTTTGTTTTAACACTGATCATTTTATAGCGAGACCTTCAGGCAACCCAAAAATGTATGAGGTGGCATAACAATTCTAAATAGCCTCTCATAGAGTTGTGAAGATAAAATGGAGGCAGGGTGGAATAAAGACACCATCGATTCTCATTTCTTGCTCCCTCTCACACTGTTCATTTCTTTAAATGTTTTGCTTCCAACCCAACCCCAAGAAACAAGATTAGGATGCAATAATAGCAACTAACCAAAGTGCCCCCCCCCCCGAACTGGAATGAGACTTTTTCACTTGTATATTTTCTGAGTGCAAAGATGCAGAACATGAAAGCCCTTGATAGCAGTGATGCGTCTGGGAATCTTCATGTATGGAGTCACTTTTTATAACTTCAACCCAGCCTCTCTTAACCTACTCTTTTGTAACCACACCTGTCTCGGTTTAATTCTACCTAGTCCATATATATTTGCAGTGAATGCCATATGACTTAGCCTTCACTTGTAACTTCTGCATACCCAAATTCAACACATGTACTACCCTTTGTGACTGTTATTAGTGTTTGCTCTTATTAAGATGTCTGACATTTAAAAAGGAGGTTGTGCCATAACTTTAAGAATTACATGCACACTTTTGCATATTGCATCTAGTGGAGTCAGACGGACCAAAAAGTCTGACTTATGGCTAGCTGAATTAGAAGGGACCACAGGCACATACCGACCCACCACTAAGTCGTGCATTCTCTAAGCTACTCATTCAATTTTGAGAGGTACTTGGTGGGCTAAGAATTTTAACTAGTACAATAGCTATGAGAAGTGCAAAGAGTGATATGCCCAGCACTGAGTTCCATCCCACCAATGTATGTCCTTTTGCTCTACCCCCATTAAAGGTACTGAAAGCCTTTAAATGCCTGAAAATTTTATTTTTGAATTGGTTTAAAACCACCAAGATCTGCAAAAACCTCTGAACAAGTCAAGTTAGTGAACCTTTCAGGCGAACGTCCTTCCATAAGCTTTTGTGATACATCCAATAATATACAAAACTTCAAAAGTAGCTGCAAAAATACTGTCTTCCAAAGAAAAATATAATTTCTACCTCAGGTGTGAAGAAACCTTTCCAATGCAATCCTGAGGTTTAGCAACAAGACGACAAATCATTTTCTATACACTTTAGAATCAAGGCATCACCAGGTTTAAGGCCTTCCGTGGGGTTGGTAGGGGGGTGGAAAAGGACATCTGTATAAGTGAACCTGGGATTTTTGGAGTGTTCATCTTCTGTGCGTGAAGAGTAAGGTTAAAGCTGTGCAGATTCCCCAACCTCACTGGCTAGAATAGTCGTAGTGTCAGTCTGGTCAGTTATGATCAAAAGGAAGAGATGTGTATGCTGAAACGACTAACAGATTTGTTCTACCAGAGAGCTTTAGGCACTGTTTTCCAAGTTTCTGAGCAAGAAGAATCTTCACAACCCCCCCCCCCCCGGGACCACATAGAGGGGACACTCCTCTTCTTCCTCTGTAAAATGGAGAACCATCTGAAAACATGATCCCTCAAGAAAGGCACACAAGTTGAATGCCTGCTTATTCAACTTCTACCTGGGTACAGTATGATCAGTAGGAGAGCATTTAGCAGACTTTTAGGACTTGTGTTTCCCATCACACACTCTACAGGGCTTGCTTTGTAAGGAGCAGATTTCCCTGCTAAACTCTCGCTCAGTGGTTGACTGCTGCAGCAGTGCATGTCAGCTCCTTTAGCTACATGTGAACTCTTTCTGTCTTCCATGTTCTGCGTGAAGCCCACGCAACCTCCTCGGGGGTACTCGGAACCCTGAGAGAGCTCCTGCCTCACCCAACAGGTGAAGAGAGGAGAAAAAGAACCTGGCAGACAATAGTGTGCGCTCTCGAAACAGCAGAAGGAAATTGCCATTAACTCATCAAGAAAGGAAGTGCTTTAAAGTACCAGAAGTTGAAGGGGGGAAAAACTATGGCGGCTACAGAACATCCACCGGAAATCTGTGCTTTTAAGGCTCTGGGGGGGGGGGCACTCTGCGTACCCTGGGGGGAGCTCAGTTACTCAGTTCCAAGGCACTCCTTTCTCCACGGGCCAAAGTGCACTAAGGGACCAACGATTCATTTTGCCTTTGCTCTGCCCACTGAACTTCAGACAACCAGGGAGCTGTGGAAGAGGATAGTGTCTTTGGCCTGATTCCGCTTCCAGGATTCCAACGGAGGCGACTGAGGGGTCTCGCTGAAGTCATCGCCCCTGGAGTCTTTCCGCAAGGCGAGGAGCGGAACCTTGGAGGTGGGCTGGCGTGAGCATGTGCCCGGTGGCGCAGGGCTGGGAGAGGAAGAGAAGTCTGTGAAGAGGAAGTCCACGCTGGGAATCAGAGGCTTCACCAGGCTGAACTGGCAAAAGGCAGAGCCGGTTGGGTTGAAGTGGACTTTGTTCTTATCCGGACAGGAAGGCAGGAAGGCCTGATCAAGGCCGAGCGGTGCCACTTCCTCATAGGCACGGATTTTTTCGCAGCCCTCTGGAGGTTCCCTCTTGAATACGTAGGTGTGGTTGGGGCGAGGAGACAAGGCAAAAGCGAGGACCGGAGAACTGTTGCCGTTTTCTTTTCCTTTGGTTTCGAGCACAGGTGTTTCTACGGCACCAGAGGAAGGGTCTTCTGTAGCTGCGCGAGCAGGAGTGTGCGGGGACCGTCCCGGAGCGGCTGAAGGGGACGGGGAAAGAGAAAGGCTGCTGCAGCTGCTGCTGCTGTGCTCCAACGGAGGCAGCAAGGAATCTCCGGGGGCCCTCTGGAGAGGGGCCGGGGCCCTGTGGCCATCGGGGACATCCAGAATCTGGGACGAGAAAGACAATTTTAAACACAGGCAGACAGGAGAGCACAGGGCAAAGGAGAGGGACTAATGGCAGGCTTTGAGAGTCGCCAAGGAAGAGAGGCGAGGGGGGTCAGCAAGCATTTCCTTGCAAGCCCTCTGCAACCATTCTGTTTCTCAGTGGCTCTGTTTACTTCTGTAAGGAAGAGACGGCAGCGGGACTCTGACTCTCACATGAGAGCTAGTTTGGTGTAGTGGTTAAGTGCGCGGACTCTAATCTGGGAGAACCGGGGTTGATTCCCCACTCCTCCACTTGCACCTGCCGGATGACCTTGGGCAAGCCATAGTTCTGGCATAGCTGTTCTTGAAAAAGAGCAGTTTCTGGCTCTGCGTACCCTGGGGGGAGCTCAGTTACTCAGTTCCAAGGCACTCCTTTCTCCACGGGCCAAAGTGCACTAAGGGACCAACGATTCATTTTGCCTTTGCTCTGCCCACTGAACTTCAGACAACCAGGGAGCTGTGGAAGAGGATAGTGTCTTTGGCCTGATTCCGCTTCCAGGATTCCAACGGAGGCGACTGAGGGGTCTCGCTGAAGTCATCGCCCCTGGAGTCTTTCTGCAAGGCGAGGAGCGGAACCTTGGAGGTGGGCTGGCGTGAGCATGTGCCCGGTGGCGCAGGGCTGGGAGAGGAAGAGAAGTCTGTGAAGAGGAAGTCCACGCTGGGAATCAGAGGCTTCACCAGGCTGAACTGGCAAAAGGCAGAGCCGGTTGGGTTGAAGTGGACTTTGTTCTTATCCGGACAGGAAGGCAGGAAGGCCTGATCAAGGCCGAGCGGTCTGGAAGGAAACACAATCGAAGAAGAGGGGGATGAGTGTGAGTGAATTCTGACTGCTCCTTAGAAGATGACCCTTTTGCAAGAGACAAGTATTCTGGGTTTGGTGCTTCGAGAGTATGAGAAGAAGTGACAGAGGGGGAAAGTATATGGCTCTGGGCTGTAAATATGGTTGCCAGTTCTGGGTTGGGAAATACCTGGAGATTTTGGGGGTGGAGCCTGAGGAGGGGTGGGGTTTGTGGAGGGGCTTAAATGAGGTCTAATGCCCTAGTGTCCACTTTCCAGGGGGACTGATCTTGGTCGCCTGGAGATCAGCTGCAATAGGGGTGATCTCCAGCCACCTCCTGGAAGTTGGCAATCCTAGCTGGCTGGCATGGACAGGTGCCTAGAAACACAACAGGAGATCTAGAAACCACATAAGCAATCACATGGGCAGAACCATAGGCACCTGAGAGCTCTTCAGTTCTCCCCCTGCAAATGGCCGTGCCGTATTTTATTAAAGGTCCCAGATGTGGCTTTCAGCACAGTCATTTAAGTAGATGATACGTAATCTTCATGACCCTGGGAACTTAACCCCCCCCCCAAAAAAAAACAAACAATGAACCTTTTCTGGTAATAGGGCTAACCTTAAAAAAAAAAGTAACTGCAAACTCTGCTGAAGATTTGGAAAGCGATGGTATGCAACCGGGGGGGGGGGGGATTTCCTTTTCTTCAACTCGGCTGCTCCAAGGCATTCCCCGAACCTTTCCTCCATTGTTCACGTTTGTTACTGCTCTACCTTGCCATCGTGGTACACAGCACAGATGGCACTGTTGTGTATTCTTATACTAACCTTGTGTCTTAAGATAAGTTATTGGGGAGGGGGGCAGTGTTCCCTCTAAGCTGAGTTAGTGTGAGCTAGCTGACAGTTTTTTAGTCTCCTGCTCACACATTTCTGTCTTTGCTCAGGAAGGATGGCTCCAGAGCAAACTAGTTTATGCCGTAGCCAAATTGCTTGCTCACAACTTTAATGCCAGTTGCTCACAAAGTAGAATTTTTGCTCCACGGCTTAGAGGAAGCACTGGAGGGGTGGTGTAGTCCTTATCCTTTCTGTCCCAATTCTCACCCATTTTTTTACAGACTTGTCTATTTCTATATCTAGGTTAGCTCTGGACCACCCAGTGTTCCCAAAACTCAGCCGCCCTTCTACTCACGCAACTTCCTCATAGGCACGGATTTTTTCGCAGCCCTCTGGAGGTTCCCTCTTGAATACGTAGGTGTGGTTGGGGCGAGGAGACAAGGCAAAAGCGAGGACCGGAGAACTGTTGCCGTTTTCTAGGCAGAGGGAAAGAAAAATTGGACGGCTTAAGCCAGGAAAGCTACTAGGTCTAACACACTCAATTTAAAAAATGCAAAAGCAAGACAGACAGCAAGAGAGACTCCCATATGAAACAGCTGAATTAGAAGTCATTGAAAAGTCTGACGCAATCTAGCCCTGATTGGGACTTGGGATTTTATTAGTCACTATCGGTGTCGGCAGAACTTGCAGTGCCCCACCCATGACAAGTGTTAACCAGCTTAACACAACTAATAAAGTAGGCAGCCCATTCCTGCGATTTGAATTCTATATTCCATTTCACCTCGTGCCCCTCCCTGCATTCCGTGGCCCCTTGATCTTGCTTTCTCCCCACGCAAGGAGCCACAGCACTGTACTGGAGCAGCGTACGTTATCCCTTTGCTGCCCCTGACACACCCACAAAGTTCACTCTTGCTCCCAGACTCAGCGTGTCTGTGCTGCTTCCCACCGCAGCTCAGAATGTGACAGTGCTTCCTTCACTGCCAGAAACATTTACAAGACTAGTAGCCCATATAAGGAAGGGGAATTTTAAAAATGGATTTTGAAGCTGGAGTTTCTCTCTTAACCACCACCCCCCTTCTGAGGAGCCAGCATTTCAGATTTCCTTTACAGCACTCATTATTATTAAGGGTTAGGGTTAGGGAGAAAGTTTGATTTTAGATACCAAAGCAACTATGTCGTAAATGTAGACTGTGATCCCGGTTTCACCACAACCAGCCAAAGCCCCTTTAAGAAAATGTCAATGCAGCATCTGGCTCAGGTGGGGAAGTTAGATGAGCCCTGGGAAGGAGCTTTGATTCTTTTTAGGAGTTTATACATGTTTATTGGATTGCCAACTTAAAACAACTTATGAAACAGACTAGCAAGATGTCTTTGGCCACTCTGAAGCATCTTGTTGGCTTCCTGCTGCCTTCTACCCACTCCCCTCCTACCCGCCGCAGACTAATAGTCCTGGCACCTGCCCCATACAGGCTGTGATGCCCACTGGCTTCCAGACTTATACTTAGCGGCGTGATAACCAGACCTGTAGCCAGGAATTTCTAAGTCACGCCGCTTAAGAAACAAAGGAAAGGTATTTAAATTCGTCAGGGGCCACTGGGGCACTAACTAATTCAATTATATGTAATTAAATTAACTAGATTGGTGCGGCACAGGGGAGAAAGGTGCAGTGCAGGGGGAAGGCAAAGAGAAGCCGTGCCCACGGCAGTGCAGGGGAGTTCACGGGGCTCGCTGCATCGTACCAGAGAGTCAGGGGGGCTGAGCCAAAAGGAAGTCATGGGGCCCTGGTAGGAAGTGGGGGGCGGGCGGGCCCCGAAATGCCCCACTGTAGCTTTGAGCTGGTGATAACTCATGAGTGATTTGGGACCATGAGGCTGGGGGAAAAATATCTCAAGGTGCCGAAGAATCCCTGGAGGACTGAGCTCGGAGCAAGCCATGGCAACCCCCCCCCCGCCCCCTTACCTTTTCCTTTGGTTTCGAGCACAGGTGTTTCTACGGCACCAGAGGAAGGGTCTTCTGTAGCTGCGCGAGCAGGAGTGTGCGGGGACCGTCCCGGAGCGGCTGAAGGGGACGGGGAAAGAGAAAGGCTGCTGCAGCTGCTGCTGCTGTGCTCCAACGGAGGCAGCAAGGAATCTCCGGGGGCCCTCTGGAGAGGGGCCGGGGCCCTGTGGCCATCGGGGACATCCAGAATCTGGGACGAGAAAGACAATTTTAAACACAGGCAGACAGGAGAGCACAGGGCAAAGGAGAGGGACTAATGGCAGGCTTTGAGAGTCGCCAAGGAAGATAGGCGAGGGGGGTCAGCAAGCATTTCCTTGCAAGCCCTCTGCAACCATTCTGTTTCTCAGTGGCTCTGTTTACTTCTGTAAGGAAGAGATGGTTCCTGGTGCTCAGCTTTGTTCGCTGCAGCTGCTGCTTCAGTTTGGCGATCTCTCTGCGATGGCCCATGCTGCCCCAGGAGGCAGAACGCTTATGAAGGGTGGCCTTCCCCACCTCCACTTCGTGCCAGGATACAGGAGTCTGTGTCGATTTGTCGCTCATAGGCGATAAAGCCGCTCCTTCCGCATCACGAGGCCACTGACCGAGGAGGTACGACCCGAGGACGGTGTCCAAGGAAGATGTGCGCCTCACCCGGGGAGGTCTGTTCCGGCAGGCCTTCTCGGTAGCACCGGCAGCACACGGAACGCTGGCTGCCCGGCCCCCGTCTCCGCCTCGCCGCTGCTGCAGCTGGAACGGGACGGTGGCTTTGAGCGGCTGCAGCCCGCCTCGGCCGCAAGAAGACGAGGAAACCCCCGCCGCCATCCTTCGGAAGCGACGGCGGCTCTCCTCCAGCGACAGCCGCTCCGTCGCGACTCGCTCGCGGGACTCCCGCAGCGCTAGATGCCTTTCCCACACCGTCCGGGGGGCTTGGCCTCAGAGAGCGAACCAGAGCAGCTCATTGGGCAGCGGAGACGAAGGGGCGCGGCTTTGCGGAGGCACGCCCGCGGAGGCTGCCCCGACGCAACGGCGCGTTCACTGGTTCAAAGGATGTAGGAGGGGAGGGAGGCGTGGCCAAGAGGAAGGCTGGGGGAATATTTTTTTGTATTGAGGATCTCGTTATAGACTCCGCATAGGATTGCGCTGGTAAACAGGAAGCGCGTTTGGTGCGAGAAAGAAACATGGCTAGTGGCGCTCGCATGGGGCAGATTTGCGCAACGCCTCAGGGGCTGAAGTTCACGAATTAGGACGGGTTGCAACTTGCAATCAACGGGGCAGAATCCTGCCTCCAAACGTGGCTGGACAAGACGTGCAAGCAGAACCAGGTGTTGTTGCTGGCAGGCTATGAAATGGCTCGGGAAAGATTCTGCCTAACCCGAGGAAGATCTGCATTAACAAGAGTTTCTTATGAGTTAACGAATTAGGTCGGAATTCCACCCACCGGAACCTATCTCCAATGTTATGTTAAACAGGAGTTTTGTGACAATAACAGGGATCGAGCGATTCATAAATATAAGATAATAAATAAAACTTGAACACTTAACATCTTATTTCAGCATCAGCTTCTTGAATCAGACCTCACTTCATCAAATGCATGGAGCCTACTGTCACTTTGCAGACTTCTTTATTACCAACTTGGGGGGGAGGGGTTGAGAATTGAGATACTACCTGTATATTGAGTTGCCTTTTCCAGAGTTAAGTTTGTTGGTCCATCTAGACCTGTACTGTCTGGTCTCATGGTCAGTGGCTTTCCCTGCAGTTGTGCACCCAACTTTGCTACCCCCAGAATTTAGTTTTAATGAGAAACAATAGCCTATCCCCAAGACTTTCAACATACAAAGCTATGTTTGCTTCCATTGATACAAGTTCTTTATAAAATATTTCAGACAGTCTACAGGATTGTACTCATATCGTATCCTTGCACATGGTTTCGATTTTTGGAGTCTAACCTGCAAGATAAAATGCAACATGCAATAATTCCCTGCCCCCCCCCCTTAAATCAAATTTCTAGACCAGCTTCAAGCTTCTGGGCTCCTGCCTGTTCAAGTACCTGTTTTTCCCCATTCCGTTCACATTTGCATGAGATACCGGCTAATCACAGGCAAGAAAATTTCACCCTCTAAACCCACAGCCCCAACACATATGCCACATGCAACTGTAGTCTCGCTAACTGACAAGTCCCCTGCTAATTACCTGCTTCAAATTGCACGCTCAGGTGCTGGGACATGAATGACAGACCTGAGAAATAGGTCAGAGGCCTGCTTTGTGCATGAAGCCAAAGGAGGCAGCAGAACAGACAATATCAATTCAAAATACAAAGGAGGGGGTGTCACATTTTTGAATATTCTCCCTTGCCAACTAAAATACCTTCAAGTAGAAAACTAGTACTGCTGGTTGCACCGAAAAAACAGGTTGCTTACCTGCAACTGG